CTCTCTCTCTCTCTCTCTCTCTCTCTCTCTCTCTCTCTCTCTCTCTCTCTCTCTCTCTCTCTCTCTCTACTACTACTACTACTACTACTAACCCACTTACCTTTGCGCGACAGCGCGATGGGCGAAGTGAGGCGTCGGGCGGCGGGCGCTGGCGGAGCTCCCATCGAAGTGTGGCGTCGAGCGAAGTGCGGCGTCGGGCGGGGGAGCTCACGGGGGAGGGGACGAGGGCCGGTGGTTCTCGCCCTCAGGGATTCAAAATCGCGGCCAATCTGGGCCGTCGATCCTGGAGATCGACGGTGCAGATGGGCCCCGATTTCGAATTCTTGAAATCGGGCCTACCGGCCCTTTTTTTTCAACTGTGTTGGCCTGGACGGCCTCCTTAGGGGGGAAGAAGGCCCCCCGCGTCGAAAACGGTCGAACCCCCCCCCACTTCTGGGATGCGCTGGGGTCGCCCGGTGGCCAACCGGGCGGAACAACCGGCCAGGCGGCCCGGGGACCAGCCTAGCTATTTTCGACATTTTTCATATGTGGGCACACAGACAGTTGCAGCACAACCAGTTGGTTGCAGGGGAACGCGAGTCTCCAGGTTCTCTCCGGAAAACAAGGGCTGCACTGTACTGTTGATCCCAGGGCCGGGTGGTTGCACTCTGGGCACACGCAGCGTGAGACCGACACATCATGCAGCGGCCATGGAAGAATGAGAAAGCAGCATTTTTGTCACACAATCTCCACGAGCCAATGAGAATGTGGCCAACCCTTGGAGCCTGGGAGGCTACCTATACGTGCCCAACCACAAAGGGCCTAGGCCCTTAACTATAGAGGTGGGCGTGGGCGCAGAGACTGGGGCCCGACTGGATGCTACTGGAAACTTCCCCAGGCAGGCCCAGGCAGACACACACAGGGGCTGCACTTTGTATAAAGGAAAGAGGCCAGCCCAGGGAGAGGTATTCTGGCCTAGGCAGGCAATGCGGACACGCTGCTGCGTTGCTGCGCAAGTGTCTGCATGGGCGCTGCTGGTCGGACGCGCGCACGGGCGGTGAGGTGAGGGGCGCTGCGAGGGCAGCGGGCCCACAGCAGCCATAGCCGGGCTGCAGGGGCGCAAGGCAGGTGATGGCTAGGGTGGTCTTCAGGTAGGAGGCGCATGCTGTGGGAAGACAAGGGGTGATGACGAGAGGAGAGAGAACGTGTATGCTGGTGATGGTCTTCGACCTCAGTGTGATCCAGTTTCGAGAACGTAGATAAGATTAGATAGGCTGAGTAGGATAGGCTGGGCGCTGCTGGGCACCAGGCAGTGAAGTGCGACATTGGATACAGTGTTGGTGTGACCAGAGAGTGGCGACATTGGCATTTGAGCTCATTGCATTGATCTTATTTGGACGGTACCTTGGTGCATTGTGCTCTCTGCTTGGTCATGACTATCTCTCTACTTCGTGATTTTGCAACTTGGATTTCTGTCTATTGCTCTCGATCATAATCCTTGCACCTCCAACTTCATCCGTTAAAATTGGAACGATACAGAGAAGATTAGCATGGCCCCTGGGTGAGGATGACATGCATAAATCAAGAAATGGTACACCCCCTGCCAAAAAAAAAAAGAAAAGGTTTTTCACGAATGTAAAAGTTTTAGTCTCCTTTGTAATTCGTTCATTTGTGACGGGATAAGGAACAAAACGGTCACATTCCAGAATGGCAGGGGGTCTTGATGGCTACAAGACCCTCGGAATGGAAGCAGACTATAGCAATAAGGCTGCTTCTCATGGCTACCATCTGGACTTCGAGATTGAGGCCCACATGGTCTGGAACTTTCCGGACTAAATTCAAGATTCGGATTTGATAGTTTTTATTATATATAATGCTCAGCTAGGTCTTCCATGTGCCCATCCACCACATCCTTACAATGTGTGTCCGCTGTGTCGTCAAGGACAGACTCATTCTGAGCCTTTTCTTATCCTCTCCTTTGCCTTCATCGTCGTTCCACACTCGATATTTTTTTACTACTTTCCCTTACTGCAAGGAAGATGAGCAATAGCGAAGTTCAGCAATCAAACAGCATCATACATATGAGTCCAGATAGTCGTGACCTCGAACCAACAGCAGAATTGCATCACGAGATTCACCAAATAAGAACACACCAAGAGTTCATAATTGACAATGCTGAAATAGTCCCATCATCATCATCAACGAAGAACCAGAGTTGATATCCTATCTGGCGCTCGGCGCC